AGATGGCCAAAGTATTGGAGCCTCAGCTTCAGGATCTGTCCTTCCAGTGAGCACTCAGGGTTGATTTCCTTTAGAAGTGATAGGTTTGTTCTCCTTGCAGTCCAGGGGATTCTCAAGAGCCTCCTCCAGCACCACAATTCAAAGGCATCAGTTCTTCGGCGGTCAGTTTTCTTTATCATCCAGCTCTCACTTCCATACATCACTACAGGAAAAACCATAGCTTTGACTATTCGGACTTTTGTTGGCAAGGTGATGTCTCTGCTTTTTAAGATGCTGTCAAGATTTGTCATTACTTTCCTCCCAAGAAGCAGGCGTCTTTTAATTTCGTGGCTGCTGTCTCCATCTGCAGTGATCATGGAGCCCAGGAAAATAAAATCTGGCACTGCCTCCATGTCTTCCCCTTCTATTTCCCAGGAGGTGATGGGACCAGTGGCCATGATCTTAGTTTTTTTGATGTTGAGTTTCAGACCGTTTTTTGCACTCTCCTCTTTCACTCTCATTACAAAGTTCTTTAATTCCTCCTCACTTTCTGCCATCAGAGTGGTATCATCTGCATATCGGAGGTTGTTGATATTTCTTCCGGCAGTCTTAATTCCCGCTTGGGTTTCTTCCAGTCCAGCCTTCCGCATGATGTATTCTGCATATAAGTTAAATAAGCTGGGGGACAATATACAGCCTTGTCGTACTCCTTTCCCAATTTTGAACCAGTCAGTTGTTCCATGACCAATTCCAACTGTTGCTTCCTGTCCCACATATAGGTTTCTGAGGAGACAGATAAGGTGGTCAGGCACTCCCATTTCTTTAAGAACTTGCCATAGTTTGCTGTGGTCCACACAGTCAAAGGCTTTTGCTTACATCATACCCTGATCAAAAGTCAAGAGGTTATCCTAGAAATATGAAGAAAATACTCTTATAAATGAGTTTTTCTTCATTTATTTGTTCAGTCATGTTATTATTTTTCATCGTTTTCAACCCCAGCTCTTCAATTGAAATGTTTTCATGCTTTTGGGTAGGGAGGTCAAGGCTTTCATCTTTTTCTTTTGCATTCTGAGTGACTTTGTGGACAAATGAATACAAAACTTACAAACTGATTATACTCTATTAAATCTAGTGAATAAGTTCTGATGAGTTTCTCTTAAAGACTTCATAATACATTGTCTGAGTACAAAAGGGGGTTGTGTGTTATGTGTGTGATTTGCTTGCTAACACTCTAGTGCAGTCTTCATCAGTGGGCATCTTTCAGAAGTATTGATCTGCAACTCCCATCATCCTTAGCCAGCACACCCAGTGGTCATTCTAACGAAGGCATTGAGAATTAAAACCTGCATGTTGGGAGACTGCCTGGTTGGAGAAATACGGTAGTATTTCTGCTTCATCCTGTGTAGTACTGAGTATGTGAAATTTGGCAAGACATGGACAGTTATAGGGGTTTAAAATAACTTGTTGACTGGTGTACAAAAAGGTATAGACTGTTGGAAATGGGTAAAGATTTAAATCAATATCTAAGACTGAGAACTTACCAAAATATTTTGTCCAGTTTTTGATTAGTGAGATTTTTACAGACCATACTTTTTTATTTGCAACAATTCCTTGCTTTATTATTATACGTATTATGTAACATGGAGGAGAAACCTCCAGACCTTTGAGAACATCATTCGCAAAATATTAGAAGTTTCTTAAATCCTATTCTGTTTTCTTCCCAGATAACTGAAGGAGAAGCAAACAGACTACAGACAAGTATCAACTTTCTGAAGATTTCTGATGAAGGATGGCTACCCCATTTGTTCCTGTCCCAATTCCTATAGGAAGTTCTACTAGTTTTACCACAAATAGAAATCAAAGAAGGTCATCTCTTGGCAGCATTTCAACATGTTCAGATTCTTCCAAGGGCCAATTGGAGGATTCTTCGAACAGTAGTTTTAAAAAGATGAGTGTCCCTGATGGGATTGGAGCCACTTCATCTCCTTGTAATAGTCCACTTGTTAGGACTAAATTTATAGGTATAAACACATCCATGGAATATTGCACACAACCATCAGAAGATACGGAACAAAACAGAGAATTTGGGAGCTGGGAAGATCGGCCTGCTACACCTACAATACTAGGTTATGAGGTGATGGAAGAGAGGGCAAAATTCACTGTAAGTTGTGATTGTTTTCTTCCAAAATGTTGACACTAGTACCACATCATTTAGTCACAGCTTTGCCATAAATACTGTAAATAAACATGGGATTTATCTGTGATTGTTTCCTCTGTGAATGGCTCTTGGGCTTCCTTGATAGATGCATTCATCTGGGCTCATCCAAAATGTTCTGGTTTCAGTATGGTTATTTCAAATGTTGAATGCTTAATTTTTGCAAATGTCACTGAGCCTTATGAGCATGGTTAATTTCTACTACACTGGACTTTCCATAGTAATTAGCACTTTTTAGAAAGCTGCATTTTCAAAAGTGATTAGCACTGCTTGTCAGTCTGAGTCTGATTCAGCATTTAAGGATATCTGAGGTGGTTTTTAGATATGGTTGTTCTGGTTGAGCTACAAGGAATCAGATGGGTATTTTGGCTGAAATTCTGTTTTCACATACCTGTAAGTAAGCCTAGTTGAACTCTAGTACTTATTTGTAGGAGGAAACATATGGGGCTGCGGTGCTATTTGCATTCCTTTGCTTTCCGGCTCTGGTCCATGAAGACAAGCTGCAAAAACTTTCATGGGGGGCTTCATCAAATGGTCAGATGCAGAATGGCATGTTGCCCTGTTGTATTTTTCTCTCATCAGAAGAATAGCATTTGTTGAAAGTTTAGTGCAATCATTTGTTTAGTCTAACCTGAATACGCAAGGAAAACTGTAACCTTGAACATGGTTACTGGGAACCTGCAGCGAAATAATTTTAGAAGTGCCCACACACAAATCATGGAAATTAGTTTTATTGATGGGTAGGGAAAATGTGCATATAAAGACCACCCAAGTTCTCGACTTGCTTGAAAGAGTTATTCATTTTTCAAATGTAGGCAAACATTGGCAGGCTTTGATAAAAGTTTCTCTCTTTTTTTCAGACAAAGAATGGTTAGGTCAGCCTTCTAATAATTGCAGTGTAATGTGAGTAGACTGTGCAACTTACAGTATTTATGGAAGCTGCTTTAATAGATTTTATGTTTAACAGGTTTACAAAATTCTTGTTAAAAGAAATCCAGAGGAGAACTGGGTCGTCTTCAGAAGGTATACAGACTTCTCCAGGCTTAATGACAAGGTATATAAATTTGAAGTGGCCAGGAACTCCAGTTATTAATGTCCTAGGTTAATATCTTTGTTTCCATGGTTAATAAATAACTTAAGAAGTTAAAATGCAACAAACTGGTGATGTTACCATAGAACTAATAAATACAACATACTATGGCAAAAATCCATAATTTGCACTACAGTAGGTCCATTGAATCAATGGAGATTTAGTCAATCATCTCCTCCATAGGTTCCATTGTTTGAATCCTACTTTAACTGTGACTTTCCTTGGCAAAGTAAGTCACCAGTAAAACAGGACCATTTGACTCAATGGAACTTATGGATGGTTTGACACCCTAAATTCCCACTGATTCATTCAGCCTAGTGTAGTACAATTTACAGTACTAAGCAACAGGATTTGGGCCAATCCTGCATGTATAAATTATCTTTCTTTTTACCAAAAATGTTGTGTATAATTGACTTGCAATATGTTTGACATTCAAATATAGCTCGTGTAGTAGCCATACCAGATTGGAGACTGGATGTCAAACATTGGGCTGATAGGAAATTCCGATAGAGGTTTTCAAGTTTTCCAAACAATATGTGGTTCTCTGCTCTGGTTCTCTAAATATATAAAATATGTTTGTAGGCAACATCACCCATATCAGCCATCTGTCCTAAAAATGTCCTTTTGTTCCCCTAATGGGCTACCAGAAGTGCAATTCTACTGGGAAACAAGTACATTTCCCAACAAGATTGCTGGGGTTTTTGTGGTGGTAGAAATGGTGGTACTGGTAATTGGTAGTGTCAGGAGATTGCATGCACTGAAGGTTTCTTGGTATCCCAACCTAGGAAGTGGCCCACCTCTAAACTAAATGAAACTCAAGCTTGCAGTTGTCGGAGGGAATAAAGTTCCTAACTGGTTCGTCTGCTTCATTGAGATGGATTAGCTATCTCCTAAATTCCTAAATTTTTACAAAAGGGACACAGAGAGACTGTTTTATAAATACCGGTGACTCTGATAATACATTCCTCTATTTCCTAATGCAGGTATGTAGGAATATTTGTCCCAATTGGATATAGACAGGATTCTCTTAAAACAAAGAATGGGTATAAAGGAAGCCATTAAAAAAATTGGGGAAGTATTTCCAAATCTCTTAGTTCACTTCTCAGGTCACCATCTCTTCCTGCTTCGAAGATTAATTTGAGGTTATAATCTAGCCAGTTGAAGCCTGAGGAGTGGAAGAACCATTCCAAAGTCATTTTGAGATTTATCTGTATAATTCCTGACTTGCAATACTGTTTAGACATTCAGGATTTAATACCTGCAATCCATTATTCACCAGTTGGTAGTTTTCTTCACCAGCTGGCTTATTCAGTGTAATTCTGGTTTATTAAACTGGTTTGCTGAATTTGCAGACATGACAAGATACTGTAATATAAACTCTCTGGTCATTTTGGAAGGGAACACAGTCCATACATGAAAGAGGAGGTGTTGCCAGTCTTCAATCTGAAGAATCCACAATATAAATCTGAGGCAAAGGGAAGTAACTAAATATTGTAGCAAAAACATGCTAATACCCAATGTTCTCAATCAAATGTATGCCTGGTGAACCCTGAAATATTGGAAACGTGGGGATTTACAGAAGTGTATATACATGGTAGTTTATACATTGATCTCAAATATAATAGGGAAACTATCATGAAAACACCAATAATGTGAGTGATTCTGGTCTTGATTAATTTTCAGACATGCAGCTGGGTAATCACCTCAGACAATAACTTGATTAATTTTCAGACATTCAGTCAGCTTGATAAGAACAATGGAAGGAACACCACTATCTTCTTGTGTAGTGGGAGTGTATTGAGAATGATGTCACTGGCAGTGGCCAGCTGATGCTAATTAAAGAATGCCTGCTTGAAGTTCAGGTTGTGTGTGATTTGTGCACAGTGCAGTGAAATCACATGCAACCCAAAATTGAATCAGGGACTGTTTGATTAGCAGCAATATACTGCTCTCAGTGATAACATTTTCATTATTCTGGGATAGCTGTGCAACAGGATTTTGGCCAAAGAGTGGAAAGAGAACTTAAGGGGAAGATTGGCTCAGAATCATGAAAGTCCCTATGTTTTTTGTTTAGCCTTTCCCATCACTAATCACAAGACAGAGTTGCCTCTCCAGACTCAAGAAGGAATGCCATGAAGGTCCAGTGCATCCTGCACATCCAAGTGGATGTTCACTTCCAATACCCAGTGTCACAAACAGTCAGACAATCAATGTGTGAGGATGATCCTACTAAAGTGGATATACGTATTCAGCATAGTTGTAGACATTTCACAGGGCTCGAAACTGCCTGGTTATAGAATTTATCTAGGCACCCAGAACAGCAACCGAGGAGGAAATGGACATTGATTCTGGAAATGTGGATTAGGCACTCGGGGTGGGAGTAGAAAATGATACAGATGAATCACAGGAAATGGGACATCAGGCAACCTGGGCAAATCTGTGAGTGGGCAGACCTAATTCCACAATAAAAATGAGGTGAATGGCTGGCGATTTTGCCATGAATACACTACAGCGGCAACTCTGTGTGTTTGAGGGGTGAAGTTAGGAGGAAGGATAGAATATTTTGGCTGCAGAGACTGATATTTTATAATGTTGTTACATTTTAGTATTATAATCTGGTTTGGAATTTTGCTAATGGAACACACAACCATTGTGCTGTTTCATTTACTATGAATGCAGAAGCTCTGATCTCATGACTGAGTTAAGGCATACCAAAGGCCATGCTTCCAGCCGACGGAGGTTATTATAGCAAATTGTATTCCTTATGGTACCAGTGGGTAGTCTAACCTGCTGATTTGTTTTAAGTGATTCAGGACTAGATTTATTTCCCTTCCAAAGCTTTAGAATGACTAATTTAAGTTCACACTTGTATATTGCCTGACTTAGGTAGGGACTTGTAAGCAAAAAAGGCATTTTGTTCAGCTTACCTATATTTTGCATACTACAGAAAGGTAACTCCTCTTAATTCAGTTAGTTAGGGATGAGGATATACAAATCATACACTTAATTTACCAAAAAAAATCTTGTTCCTGGCTGCCATAAGAATCTTCCCCATGCAGCTTGAGTCAATAAAAGATGTATTAAGCAAGATGAATACAAAATCCAGACTATATGTATAAGAATGCAATCATGTCTGACTCTTTCAGGAAGTGATCTTGGTGGATTATCATCTACTGCTGTGTCTTCTCTATGGCAAGTGTTGTGTCTGACTAGCGTGACCTGTTTTATTTTTTTCCAGCTCAAAGAGATGTTTCCTGGTTTTCGACTGGCACTTCCACCAAAGCGATGGTTCAAGGATAATTATAATCCTGACTTCCTGGACGATAGACAGCTGGGGCTACAAGCATTCCTGCAGAATTTAGTAGCCCATAAAGACATTGCTAACTGGTATGTGATCTTCATGGTCCTAAAACTGTAATCCTTTCAATACTGTAACAGAAGAGTGTGGTCCTTTTAGGTATTCCAACAGAGTTTGTGAATAATTAATCATTGTTGCTGTGTGAAGTATTTCAAAGTGTAGGAAGCTCAGCTGACCTAAATTACATTGAGACATGTCTGTGCAAGAGGGGAAATTGCAAAAGTGGTTTTCAGCGAGAGTCTGTAAAAATACTTTGTACAGCTAGGTTCTAGCAAGGATCATAGTAGCAAGGTAGTGAATGATGTAAAGTTCCTGAAAACAGAAAAGGCGTGAAGGAAGAAGTGTATTTGTAACCAGGGAAAGCGTTTTTGGTGCATGCAATCTGGTTGCAAAACTCAGGGCAGTAAATTTGAATGGAATACTTTTCATCCTATCCTGTACATTTGCAAGGTATTAATATTTCATATTCATATTTCAGTCCTTGAAATTTCATATCCTTTTCATTTAAGAGGTGAATTTCTGATATATTGCACAGCCTTGAATTGTTTGTTAGGAGCCTTGTGGTGCAGTACTGAAGCCAACACTCAGCTCACAACCTGTTTTTGTTTACTGTCCCATACTTTTTTATTTGTTTGATCCTTTTTAGTATTTGATCCTTTTTAGTGTTTGATCCTTTTTAGTGTTTGTATGCTCACTGTTTTTAGCTTTAAACATTGACTTTTAATGATGTAAGCTATTTTGGGTCCTTTTTAAGGAGAAAGATGGGTTAAAATGTTTTAAATAAATAAAAATGTATTTTTTGTTAATTGCAGTTGACTAAGGATGGGTAATTATAATGGAGCCCTGCATTAATGGATGGGGCAGAAGATAGAAGTAATTAGTTTCTCAGAAGAGCCAAAAATCTACTGATGGAAATGAGTCCTTTATTTTCTGTCAACGTTTGCTATACATAAATTTTGTGTCTTTTTCTTCAGAGAGCTGCATCATTTGTTAGCCTGCTTGAGTTCCATCAAAGAAATTACTGCTTTTGCTGCTGTTCGAGTTGCATGCAGAACTCTTCCAAAATACTTTATATTATATCATGGAGTTTTTGGGATATAATGAGTAAACAAAAACAAACCATTTCTGACATCTGAAGAGAAACTACTCTAAATGAGCTAATGACTCTTAGTTCTGTCAAGACAGCTTCCAATACTAAAACTAGCAGGAATACCAGATTTGGAAGGATCCAAAACCCTTTAGTAGCTCCTAAGCCCAGCTCTTTCAAGTATTCTTTTTCTCATCTCTACTTTCCCTCTTCTTATTTTTTACAGTTTTTTCTTCTCTTTTCACCTGCTTCCCAGGCAACAATGCATACTCTTAAAGTCCCTTTAGCATCCATGCTAATTTTCAGATACCTACATTTCATAGACTAAGAGGCTGACACAGATACACATTCTCTCTTTTTATTCTCTTCTAGATAGCATATTAGCAAGGAGAGACAAGAGGGCCTTCTTAAATGAACAATGCAAAGAAATAGAGGAAAATAATAGAAAAGGAAAAACCAGAGATCTGTTCAGGAAAATTGGAGATATTAGAGGAACATTTTGTGCAAAGATGGACATGATAAAGGACAAAAATGGTAGGGACCTCACAGAAGCAGAAGACATCAAGAAGAGGTGGCAAGAATACACAGAGGAATTATACCAGAAAGATTTGGATATCCCGGACAACCCAGATAATGTGGTTGCTGACTTTGAGCCAGACATCCTGGAGAGTGAAGTCAAGTGGGCCTTAGAAAGCCTGGCTAACAACAAGGCCAGTGGAGGTGATGGCATTCCTGTTGAACTATTTAAAATCTTATAAGATGACACTGTTAAGGTGCCACATTCAATATGCCAGTAAGTTTGGAAAACTCAACAGTGGCCAGAGGACTGGAAAAGATCAGTTTACATCCCAATCCCTAAGAAGGGCAGTGCCAAAGAATGCTCCAATTACCTTACAATTGCACTCATTTCACACGCTAGCAAGGTTATGCTCAAAATCCTACAAGGTAGGCTTCAGCAGTATGTGGTCCGAAGTACTCCCAGAAGTACAAGCGGGATTCCGAAGGGGCAGAGGAACCAGAGACCAAATTGCTAACATGCGCTGGATCATGGAGAAAGCCAGAGAGTTCCAGAAAAA